GCTGTTCTAATTTTACATCTGATTCAAAGTCCGACTGTATGGAGATCCAGACTGGTATATCAATGGATGATCAAGGCCGGAGGGAATATTTTCATCTTGTTAAACTTTGTCGATTATTACTAGCGTAACAAACGTGTATATATATATGTCGAAATCGGTCAAAATTTTGATTTACTTTAATAATCAATTCACATTTTTAACTGTACACTATGAAAAGCATCGTTGAGTTCTTGTCATATTTTTTTTATCATAGAGTTATTTAGACGTTTGTGCATGGACATGCATGTGATCACTGAAACTGAATTTCAATTTAATTCACAAAACCAGTCAGTCTTGCGTACTCAAATTCTGCGTGTCGTTGTGGAGTTAAACATGGAAGTCTCTGTCTCTAAAAGTAATTTATAAACTCCCTCAGGCGCGGATCCAGGATTTTTTTTTTCAAAAGTGGGGAGAGGTTTTTCACATCAACTCTAACAGATGTCAGATCCAGAAATTTGTTGACAAGCAAAATAAAAAAGAAAAAAAAATACCCAAACCAACTAAAATATCGAAAACAAAAAAATATTATCAACTTCCCCCAACCTGAAAAAAAAAAATCATTCTTCGTGGTGGTAGTGGTTTGGGGGGGGGGGGAGGTGGATCTCTTAGGGGCGAGAGAGAAGACACTTTCCTTAGTCTAAATTCTTTTTTCTTCATATACATGACTCTTTGTACAATTTTAAAAGGGGTCCTTCTTTCAAGGGGGGGGGGAGGGAGGGTTCCAAGCTAATTTCCTTGTTTTTATTTGTTTGTTGTTTATCGTCCATCTTGAGAATTTTTCACTCATATGGAGACGCCACCACTTGCCGGTGGAGAGCTGTATTTTGACCTATACTCGGCACTCAAGGCCATTGAGCAGTAAGGGATCTTTTTCGTGCCAGCATCTACTGCGACACGAGACCTCGGTTTATACGGTCTCATCCGAAGGACCGGTCTCCACGTCCCACGGTGAGATTCGAACCCGCGACGTAGGATCAACTCCTTACTCCGCGACTCTAGAGCAGACGCTCTACCACTGCACCACGAGGGCGACTATTTACATTATACTCGATCTGGAAGTTTAGTATAATATTATTTTTGGTAAACTATTTCACTATCACACACTAAATAACAAAAAAACTTATTATACTGTTGATATTTACTTTGAATTTCACAAACTCATAAAACTTTATACTAGTATTTACGAAACAAACAGTTATCAAAGCAGTTGTTTTATATGATTTAGTAAATCCTCAGAGGTCTTTTTTCAGTTTTATTTAAGAACTTACGATTAAGACGAAAAATGACATTTTGCAAATAACTATGTTTTTAGAAATAAATTTGGAAATCTTTTTCATCTTTTTAAAGAGAATTTTGGAAGATATATATACCTTTTTAACTTTGGGGACCTCCCCTCTTAGATCCGCGCACGCCCCTCACTTCTAAACGTTCATCGTGTACATGAAAGCAAAATAACTGTCCATAGTTCTCTTGATAAATGTTCTCTAAAATTGAACGCGAGTGTGTCTATGTGTGTGTAAAAAGCATGCAGTGTATTAGTGTAATTAGAGAGAGAGAGAGAGTGAGAGAGAGAGATTTAACTTCTAGTACAAAGTGATTCACTAAATGTGGGTCCATTCTATAATACGTACCTAAATTGCGTCTGCGTCCATTCTAACTTTCTTACTTCTACCAATTTTTTTTAAATCCTTAAGCAAGAGATTCTTTATCTTTGTCACCCACAGGTAAGTATTCCACATCAGTGAGTGTGGTTATCAAACGTGTGTATTATAGGTCATGGAATTCCGCTTATTTGCTATGAAAAGCCAGTCTCAATTCAGAGTTATCTTTCTTTAATTAGTATCGTCCTTTTGACAATTTTTTTTTTTACCATTTTCTGCAATGACTTTGCAATATTTCAAGAAACTTCATATGGAACAAATTAATGAATGTAACATATAGGTAATCTGTATTCCTTGCAATTAATTCACATGAACTACATACATCTCTTACCTGATTAATCTTCTTGCTTCCGTCGATCCGAAAATGGTCAAAGAAGTTCCACTTGTCTAACCTCTTAAAATCAGTAAAAGTATACTTATCTGTATAAATTCCACTGAAGGGAGTATGGATGTTGCCAAAAGTAGCAGAAAAAATTGTTATAGTGTGTGAATCATTACATCTCAGAGCAACACTAACCACTAACAGGAAAATCGGAATGGCCGAGATACACAATTGGTAAATATGTTATATAAACTATATTGACAGTACTTACATGAGCAGATTCTTTATCTTTATTACTCACAGGTAAATATTCCACATCATTGATAAATTAACATAGTACCTGACCTTTCATTAAAACGCCCCAGTAAATCATACAATAATAAAAAAAAAATACAAAAATTCTATACAATTTTCACAATTTTTTTAACTTGACATTCACAACTTCCTGTTGGCGACCAGTTCTTGTGCACTTTCTTTCTGCTTTGGGTATGATAAAAATCACGTGTTCATCTGAATCAAACCACACACCCCTTTCAAGTTTTCTCGCAAATATGGGTAGCGGATGAGCAATAATGACAAAATTTCAATAATTTTTCTCAGTAATTTTTATACATTTCACAGGTACGATGTCTTTTCGGCACTCATTTTCAGTTTATGACGTTACTTTTCGGCACTCATTTTCAGTTTATGACGTTACTTTTCGGCACTCATTTTCGGTTTATCCTATTAAACCTCTCGCGTGCTTCTTTTTAATAATCTTTGCTGCCATTTTGCTATAAACCTTCTTCTTTTGAGCTGTACTTTCATTTATAATTATTTTAACTTTGTCCTAATGTTATATCTAAATTCATTCATTTCTGCGTAAGTCTTATTTGTATCATAAGTTTCAAAATTAGTGTCCAAGACAAATGCCATAATGACTTAATATTTCCGTGCGGCGATAGACGAGACCCAACGTAGGTTAATGTAATAGTATATGACGTTTTGTTGAAAACTTTCGATTTAAGATTTTACAGCAGTTGTGACATTTCTTTTAAATCAACCTTCATATATAATTAAGTTAAGAATTATTGCTTGAATAAAATAAAACAACATAAATTTCCATATCCTCAATCGGCGTATAGCAGATGACAACTTCTCCGTGTTTGATGACTAGGTTTTCACAAATCAACCCGCATAAGAAAAATATTTTGGCAGATCTAAATCGAAATCGTTGAAAAATCTCAACTCCGGATAGACCTTCCCAAGGATTACTCTTATCCAGAACTTCCAATGGATTACTCCTATCCAGAACTTCCAATGGATTACTCTTATCCAGAACTTCCAATGGATTACTCCTATCCAGAATAGTTCGTCTATGAATCCTCATTATATTCCAAAGAAGCATTCTGGTAACTATTTTGGATTTTGAGTTGAGATACCTGAGACAGACAAATCTGGAACGAAATAAATTTCTACTTCTTTTAATTACAGTGTTACTTGAGACCTTAAAGTATCCATAGTTTATTTTTTGGTCTTAAAGCTAATATGAAATGAATCTTAGCCTCTCTTTGCACCAAGTCATTATCGGTATTTAATTTAAGGATGGGTCATACATCAATCACAATACGTTGTTACGTTACAATAATTACGCCATAAGGTACACAGGAAACAAACACGCACTGATATACGTTAAGAGATAATGACAAAAGAGACCGTCCTGCCGTAGGCCGTCAAAAGAACAATAAAATTAATCTACAATGTGTTTTTCCGACAAATTGAAATCGGAAGATTATATCAGATTGTGTTTCTGAATTGATTTACACCAGCGGGTGTCCAGAATGTGTGTTTTATAAAATCTTTACACCTCTTAGAGACGTACGTTCTTTGATCGTTAATCCATATTTGTATCGCCCCTTGATTATCCAGAGGGTTGTACATGCTTTTATCTTGAAGTGTTCCTATAATAAACCTAATATTTCAAAATGTTAGGTAATAGACTGCTTTCTCCAGAACTTCAAAAAGTGTAAATTGAATGTGAAAGCAGTTTAATAAACAACGTTGTAAGACGATTCCAGTTTCATGAAGTACACGACTATGAAAATTTTGTACTTTCTTTTTGATAATGAGGCTATCGTTTAAAAAACAGTCAAGTATATTTTCAAGTGATAAATTGCTATACTATGGAGACAAGTTTTACCACAAAATGGTATGCAGAAAGGTCACAGGTACTTGTGGACAGCCATGCAACATCCACCACCCTTTTAATGATTTCTAATACATTTGTAATTACATGTATATTTATATATGCATACGAATTTCTTTATTTTTAATCTGTTACTATTCTTCTACATGTTCCTGTTCAAAAATACCAATATATCATGCATTTCCTAGAGCACCGTCCCTTGATGTTTTCTGTAGACTGGCAACCATTAATATATATAATTTATTTACATTTATACACTAACATGGTAAAACTTGTTTATTTTTTACTCAGTTATTTATTTATATTTTCTCAATTTTATATGATACATACACTATTGAATTGCTAGTCTATATATTAGTTATGAGGAGGAATACTGTCCAGACAGTTGCACTGCTGAGACATGCAGAGCTCTGTCCCTTGATATCTTTTGTAGTTTAGAAACTCAGTATACGATAATATAATATATATAATTGCTTAATATAAAGAATGACACAATGGTGGCTACAACAAACTGTCAATGCTTCGCTGACAAATTTTTAATGTTAGACGTAAATAGAGCATCCTTGACAGAGAACTTATGCAGCGAGCCAGTAATATTCGGTGACCCCAACCACCACAAGGAATAATAAATAAACACCGTCTTGAGCGTAATTTATACTCAAGCCCTGCTTCAACTTATAAATACTTCAAATCCAAATAAAATACACCATTAGATTTTATGAATATAGAACGGTCTTCAATTTGGAGATCAACACAGATAAAAATAGATTCGGTAAATTCCCTGAACCCATTTCATTGGACGATAAATTGCAAGGGGCGGGGCCTTGTTTGTTGCATACGGTGATAACAGGATCATGTTTAGACCTGTCGCGATATGTACTGAACAGATCAAAACATGTGGACAATGTGTTTGATTTCCAGTCTTTATTAACGTTACACATGACACTGTGCTCTTCATATTAAGTTTAGATTTCAAGCAGGCATGTAAGTATTTTATTCATTATAGTAACTGCATAAAGATTATTTTTAGAGACTATTATTTACCTTTTAAAATGGCTTAAATTCAGACTAATTAATTTAACTCATTTTGAGTACTGTTGAAGTATAATGTAAATTTTTTGATAGCCAGTCGTTAATTATCTGTCATAAATGACTTTAATCCTGACAGTTAATTAATAGACAATGAAAGTCTTCTGCAATACGTGTCAAAGCATAATTAACCAGTGAGAGATTGTGATCACTATGAGTTTCTAATTAGCAGTGGAAGACTCAGATATGTAAATGAGATGTCAAATAATATAAAAGGATCTTCATTACGCTTATTCAGTAAAAAGGAATTTTTCTCCAAAATATTTCAGGTCTTCAAAAATGTGTAGCATCAGCGAATTTTACAACATCGCTACGGAAGAATGTCAAAAGTGCTCCGAGTGTCCGAAAGAAGATTCTGTGATGTTCAGGTGCTCTGCATTCATAGACACGATATGTAAGAAGGAATTCTGGAAAGATCTGCCCGTACCTCCCCACCCTATTCCCACCACCTCACACATTACCCGGAGGCCGGGCACGGTGGCGGTGGAGGTATTGCCGGAGGAATGGACGTCTAGCCCCACGGTCCTGATGGTGGCCACCGCCCTGTTTTTGACGGTCATTACGGTGATCCTGTCCATTATTATCTACTGCTTGTGGAGGAGAATATGGAGGGCCAGTAAAGATAAGGAAATCGTCTACCTCCCTCGACGTAAGTTTTCTTACAAGTCAATTCTCCTGTTTATCTATGTCTTCATCAAAGCACAATTATCTTTAGGCCCATAACATTTGTATTTAACCCTATCCCGTTTCCAAAAAATTGCTAAAAAAAAATAATAAACAAAATTGAAAAAAAAACAAGACAAGACAAAGGAGGGAGTTTTTAATAACTAACGTTTGTATTTCAAGGTCTCTTGATTCAGTGATAAAATCGCAAATTTAAACTTTAAACAATAACAGCGAAAGGGGGCACATTTCTTCCAGATACATAGCAAACCTTTCTGCATATTTTGGATGATTGCTTCAACTGATGGTGTAACTGATAGAGAATTTTTCTGAAATAGATCCAGCTTTTACATGGTTCATGACACAGGATTGTCGATTCAAAAACAATACGGCATATGTGTTTTTCAAATGATTTCCCAAACAACAAAAAAGTGAAATTTTACGAATGACTGCCAAAAATATTGAATTCCCAACTGTAGCCTGAGACAAACTGTCTTATCAAATGAATGATAACGACATTTATGGTCTGTGAGACTGTTTATTCCGAGTTATATTCATGTTCAAGTCATGTAAATTAGGCGTTCATTCGCTAATTTATTGAGGGGGTATCAATTAAATTGCGTATTTCCTGGTACGTGATAGGGACTTTATTCTTAAATCAGTATTGTACGATTTCGATTAGATTTTATTATCAGGTGTTTTTGTATGCCCCCGCTTAAACAGTTAATTGCATTAGCATTATGACTTTTGTCACCGTGATCAGTGAGAATTGCGACAGGCGACACATCTAGGCTTTCTGGTATTGTTATCCGAGCGTGGAGTAGCATCTGTCACACGGGATGACGTAATACTATTGACTTGTCATTATCATATTTACATACTTTGTCAGGTCAGCTGGATTGTTTGCTTACAATGATGTTTAGGGACCCCATATTGTTGAATAAACACTGTCACATTCTTTCACGCAAGACAAAAATGGTGTCCATAAGTAGTAATTATGCTCATAAAAACAGTTATTTCGTCAATTTAAAATTTAACCTGTGTGATTTTTTTGTCTTCAATATTTTAATTCATAATGATTAGATTTTCAGATGATTAACAATCCATCTTTTTTTTTTTTTACTTTTACTCCCCTGTCAATCAACATCACAATCAGATTAATTTACTTCTCATTCAAACGAGTTTCTGCATTATATAGTTGGGATTCTTGTCCTATATATTAATGTTTTACTTGTCAAATCAATCAAAATGGTAAAGGTAGGCATCAAAGTTCAGTTACGAAATATGTATAAAATATACTTTAAAACCAAAGATAAAAGATAGCAAACCGAAGCTAAACATGAATTTTAGCCCCGTTTCTTTGCCGTTATTCTTCAGGTTTTGAAAGCTTTTTACATTCATACAATAACAGTCTACCCGCAACGTATAATTTGTTTGTTTTTTTTTTCATAAAGGAATAATAGCATAAATATCTGAAGATGCATTTTGTAAATAAATTTTACACCAATTCATTTTATATCGCACAACTTTACATGATTCCATTAGACCCGAGGCAGTGATTTTATCCCAGGCACTGCCGGAATCCCACTGTGTGCAAAGCTCCGGTTGGAAGGGACAATAAGACGTGAATGAAGGAGACCACCATATAGATATTATCACCTGTCGCGGCCATTGTAATTGAAATAACAACCCATTTCTTGTGCCGAACTACTTATCCAGCTAACATTTTTGTCTCGTATATCCCTGAGATGGCGGTGGGGTGTCTAAAATCGCCACTTGACAGAAAATGGTCCATTTTCCCCATTTAAGTAGAGTTTTAAGTGTACAAAGCTGTGTCTGTCAAGATATACATTAATGGTCATTAGTGCCTATGTTCCTCAAACAAATCGTGTTCTAATTCATTTGTAGTTGTCATTTATCATAGATGTTTTGCTTAATAAGCAAATTTTCTTGGTCCAGTCCTTCACAATAAATACTCTAATTTTTTATTATATTTTTTATTCACAGGGTACACTGATGTTCACGACATGGATGGTGAAGAGCCTCGTTACCAGCCTCTTCCCTCACGTGACCGCCTCAGGAAAACCAGCTACATTGGAGAAAGAGTATATGCAAATACCGCGACACCTAGCATGCCAAATACTCATATATATGTGAACATGTTAGACATTATTGACAATGATTATTGCAATATAGATGACTACGTTAACTTGGATTGAAATTGCGTGATGTAGAAAGCAACAAATGTTCTGTCTGTGATATGAAGCGAGAGTTTCACAAAAACTAATGACGCAATAATACTCTAACGGCATAGCAAGCGTCCAAGACTGAATAAAAATGACAAAATGCATGACAAGTCAGTATACAAATTAGAAAGTGACTGAAAAAAGCCTAATCCTCAAAAACTATAGGGACCTTTAACCAGGATAGAGGATATGGGGGTACGTCAGGTAAATTTATTTATTCTAGTCATATATTTGGAATTTGTATTTTCCCGTAGAGTGATGATTCTGTTTTCAAATCCTCTCACAGCTGACATCTTATATATTCTCGTTTTTTCCTTTGTAGAATTTAAGTCCAAGAAATGATGTATGGTCGACCCGAAATTTCCTTCGTGTGGTTTGTGTGTCCCATCCGAAGAATGTAAATGCGTTGAGAGACCAGCTCAAAGACTTAGTCTAGTCACTAGTTGAATTAATTTATTTATGTGTATATAAAGAACGAAAATCTGTATATATTGTACTTATTAACTTATTTTAAACACAATAAAAAACATGAAAACTTTTAAGTGTTTATGTATCAAGGTTTAACGTGCTATTGCGTAAGACATTGACAAAATGACCATATACTTGTATGTCTAATTGTCACGTAAATGCAAACAAATATTAAAATAATTTACAAGGCGAACTATACGATGAGATTATGCTTGTCAGCCTTTGAAATCGTTAAATAACAGAATGCTCTGGACTTGTTTATTCATTTTATTTTCATTCTATACCTTAAAAAAAAAAGGAGCAATATCAAAACTTTCTTTCTTGATATACATGCATGTGATGATGTATATTTAGACATCAGACCAATTTACATCTCGATAAAATGTCTAATTATTTATGGCTATTTACCACAGTTTGTGATTTTTCCCCCCAGTTTTTCCGAATTCTCTATAAAGTCTATGAATTGACACGAATGATTTGAATTCGGACTCCTAGTTAGCACCTGCCGTAACGAAAAGATTTCTATACAACCGACGCGTGATCTGACAGATGGCGCGATAACGTCACACATCGTCAAATAACTTCAATCAGAAATCTCCAGTACATTTCTCTATTTGACCAAAGCATTAATTCATATTTGGAGACATTTCTGAACATTTGCAATAAAGGATCCACATGTGCCGTTATCGATTTTCCAAAAATAAAATCATCTGCTCTTCTTTGTCGGAAAGTATCTAACGGACAGCGGGAAATTAGGGTGTCCCATGCTACGACTCACCTTCGCGTGGTGCTACTTTGTGATGCTAATGGACGCGTGGCTTGATTGAAATTCTCCTTGTTCTTATTTGCTTAACGGGTCCTTTCAGCTTTAGCTTTTGAACAAATGGATTGGGATCTGCATAAATATTTGTATCCAGCAGGCTTTCATTTTCCCCAAGTAGCTGATAAGTAAAAGTCAAGGTGCTCACTTGCCGACTATCGAAACTAGAAACAAAATTCATCCCTAGTTTACTGATAAAATCAACGCAACAAGAAAAACAACTTTTTTTGCAATTACTTGTCGAAATAACACAGTAAAAAAATAATCACAGCACAGATAACAAAAGATAAGAATGCGTTTATCTAGAAAATGTCATATTCTGAAAGTTAGATAAATGCTTTCAACACCTGGTCCAAACGCGGCCTACGTTTTTACCGAAATTTAACTCTGCTTATCAAAATTTATTTGCTTCATCAATTGCAGATTTTTGAAGATTTAGATACGCGCATGCTCCAGCATCAATTTGACTTTCCTTATCTCTTTCACAGAAGATCACAGGGATTATATAAATTGATAAAAGCAATCTTGAGATAAACTAAATGACTTTATCTCATGGTTAAGTATAAACTTATGACACATGTTTGAGTTTTTTGAACTAAAAATGAGATAAGCTTTATTTAAAACACAGCGACAGGTGTTTCCGACTTTTTTACGTCTTTCTATAGTGTATGGTATACATGTACATGTAATTGTCCCAAATATTGAAGCTCTTCACATATTTCATTTATTTTGAATGAAAATCCTCTAATAAGTTATTTTTAGGTTACTTTAGTTCTACTTTATTGTTACAATTTTATTACACCTTTCCGCCAGTTATCAAGTTACCGAAGTTGCAGACGTTTCCTAATTAAAATTCCGCAACACAAAAACTCCAAAAGAAAGATTGTGAAATTGATACAATTGATAATGGGGAAAAAAAATCTTTTTTTTAACACCTAGTCTGTCAACGAGGATGGCTAGAACTGAGAAGATTATGGAACAATCTGTCGCAAGAATCCGAAAGGAAGATACACCGGAAGTACTGGAATCCGCATTGTGGCGGAAGGAACAAGCGGATTATAACATTTAAACAACAAGTTTACACAAAGAATCATTTAATGGCATAAGAGGACTTAGTGATAAAGGTCGGGGCGTCCCGTCTAAGAGTCTGTTTCAACGCTGTCAATGATTAATAATGAATTTGAAATCCTATGTAGCGATTCCAGCTCCTTATTTAAGTATTTTATAACATCCAGATTGAGGCTTTATTTTATTGGTATTGTTAAATAGAGCCAATTCGTACAAAATCATGTACCTTGAAACGAGGAAGAACAGGTATTAGATGTGTAACCACTGGCTGCCGTCTAGGAATAATAACCACAGATTGTGTATTTCCTGACGCTTATCTATCATAAGCAGGAAGAATTCTCTTGTTTTCCCCCCATTTTCTATAGTAAGAAGGAAGGGGTCTCACGATTTCCCGATTCCTTGTGTATAGTGCCGATTAAATGTATTTGAAATCAAATGGAAATTGATCTACAAGTTTGATGAGCATGATGAAATGATCTTAATTTGTAATACAATGTCACCATATTTTGTGCATATAAAACGAAAGTCTAGATGTCAAGATAAATTTGGCCATTACTTAATATCAGATAGATTGGATAACTACCTGTATAACTAATAGCAGATTTTACAGAGAAGCAGCTTTGTTGTTAATAAAGAACATGATATGCTGTTTACGAAATGAATTGTATCTAATGGATTTAGAATTTATATTTACATAACTCTGGTTGTAACATGATGACATCATCTCCTGTTCCCTGGATAAAAGAAGGACATCTCAAGTTACCTATATACATTACTCAATACGATACAGTAAAATATTTTACTTTGAATAAATTTTGAAAAGTTATGTGATAAATTTGGCACTCTTATTCTTCACAAATCTGCTGCATCATTTTGAAATGCGTTGCTTAAAAAATCTGTCAGTAAGCTCTCTCTGGAAAAATGTTGCCCCCCCTTTTTTTTAAAATATAATTTTAAGGGCATATGAAGCGTAGATTACAAAACCCCTTGTTCTGTTATATATATATATATATATATATATATATATATATATATATATATATATATATATATATATATATAAAGGAATAACTTTTATCCCGAGTTGTATTCTCTAATAAAACAGGAAAAACATTCTGTAAGTTTCATCATGTCTATAAGAAAACCTCCCATAGTATAAAGCCACAAGATTCTCTCACCCGATAAAAGATCCTTCAGTTTGAATATTATGCAATTCGAAATAAAAGACCCACAACGCACAGATCATTACAAGACACCGGTAGATTGATTGGGCGGATACCGACAAAAAGACCGAGGAATCCGAATGATTGGTGGATGTAACTCGACACAGCACCCTCCATTAAAAGGAAATAAGGACGATTTCTTCTCGGTTTACTTCAAAATATCTCACCTCTGTGTGTGTTTACTCACACCATTTATTTTTTCACGCTAAGAGGGATCTGGCGATTCGTTAATTGGATAATCCCACGTATAAAATGAATTAAGTTCCTGGGCTATTATTTTGGGCACATTTATGTTTAATAGAACCGTTTCTTACTGAATGGAAACATTCATTTAGGATACGTTTGCATGGTTGGCAGTATGCGCCGAGTCAATGCGTTTTGATGGAGAAGGAACAATAAGACACACCTTCTGTTTGGCATTAAACCCAGAGAACACCCAAGAATATCTCCATACACCACGAAAATTTTCTTTGCTACATTACAATGACTGTCTATCTATTTCGGTATTTATGCGTTAAAAGTAAAATTTTGGCACCCTGTACAACGATACTATCAAATCAATCAATTAATTAATCAGAGACGTGATCCAATTTCATGTGTATTACATAATTTGTATAGAATAAGGACAATGTGAGACGAGAATTCACCCACTGTTAGTTGGTCTACTACATAAAGTTTGCTTTTTATTCTGTATTCCATTGACAAGATGACAAGGTTGTAATTTTAGCGTAACTGTGAAAATACTGGCTTTTCAGAATCACTTGTTTGGATGTCATCTTAAGTGGATATTAGACAATAATTACCGTCTGCAGACAATAGTGCTTCTGTACTTAGTCCCCGAGACCCCTCTGCAGTTATTGTTGTACCCCAATGATACATTATAAATCCAGAGGGGTCTCTGTAACTTGACGACGTCTGTATCTTCATTCAGGATAATCCCATAATGGCAAGTTTATAAACAAAGTCATTTAATGAGAAAACAAGCGTAAAATTACCGGATGTCAAGCTGAAATCTCCCATTGAATTAAAATGTGGGATTAAAACACCTAATATTTAATGAGAAGACAACCCACAGTATTTCTAGATATCAAAAGAAACAGAATTTTTACACACAAGGAAGGACTATTCTCATATTTATTGTACAAAAACAAAAGACCATGTATTCAAAATTTATTGAAATTTTCATAGATTCGAGAAGACACTATCATTAAATTTAAATATTATTAAATTTGACCGTCTTCTTTTAGCAACAAGGTCAGGTCAAGGTCATTATCGTTTTCCTTGACATGAAGGAAAAAATACTATTGCTGCCAATCATGTGATGCCTACTTTTATTTTAAAATATTTTTTTTTCTTGTGCATATAAAAATTATACCACATGAGAGCTATCGGATAATGCTACCAAATCTAGATTTAAAAAATAGAAATTGATTGACTCGAAGTTCTCTAATTTTCTTAAAATTTTAAAGAACATTAGTTATTGTTTACCGCTTTATAATTTTTTCTTCCCTATTTGTTGGAGTAGTCATATAAAGCTATTGAAAAAAAGGATAGTTAAATAAAACAAAAGTTAAGTTCCTTATTATTGATTTCATTTACTTCTGAAAATCCTTCAAGTTTTTGAAAATGTAAACTAAATTCAGTAGTTTGTAGTAGATTTGAAAAACAGATCATATGATCTTTTCCTACGCCACTGTTCCACCAAATATAGGCCTGCTGTATTATAAACTCGGTTTCCATGTGAAATTGTACATTTGTGAGAAGGAAAGAAAAAAAATCTTATATTTACTGTTTAACGCCGGCCGAGTTAGCATATTTCGCTATGTTTATATTTAAATTTTGCCAATCATGTCTATAAATGGTTAACCGAAAAAAGATGATACTTATAGATAGCTTGAATCAAGATAGAAATATGTTGCATCGGATACTGAAGAATTTTACATGTACTGGTCCTTAATGGAGG